CGACCCGTGGAGCTTCGGCTGGCGCCCCTGACGCGGGTGCTCACCCCCCCGCACGACGTAGACAGCCTCCCCCACCTGCGCAAGTTCTCCCCGAGCCAGGTGCCCGTGCAGACACGCTCCTCCATCCTCCTGGCCGAGGGCCCGTCTCCCGAGGAAGCCGCGGCCCGGCCCGGCCTCATCGAGATCCCGCTGGGCAGCCTGGAAGAGCCCCCGGCTGAGGATGAGGGGGCAGGGAGCCCCCCTGGGGCGGAGGACTCCTTGGAGGAAGAAGCGTCCTCGGAGGGCGAGCCCCGGGCGGGACTGGGGTTCTTCTACAAGGTGAGCGTCGCCTCGGGCGAGGGCCGGTGGCTGGCCGGACAGTCGGAGCGGGGAGCCGAAGGGGCAGTGGCCAGGGCGCGACGGACGGCTGGGCGGGGGTGGGGGGGCGGCGAGGGAGGGCAGGAGAGTGAGTGGTGGCCAGGCTGGGAGTCTGGGACCCTGACGGGACCCCCTCCGCCCCGGCGTGCGCGGCTCCCCTCCTCGGCTGCTCTCTGCTCACCCCCGTCCGGGCCTGGCCGCCTGACACCTGTAGTCTCCCCCTGAAGAGCGGCTCCCCGCCCCGCCCTGGCCCTTTCGAGCGAACATTTCTGAGAACTACAGAGTGGGCCTGGTCGCTCCCCCCCCGCGGCTGAGTCCCGGCTCGAGTCCGGCCGCCCCGCCGGCTGCCCAGGCCTCGGGCTTCCCTTCTCGCTCCCCTACCCGTTCTCCAAAGCCGCTTCCTCCAGGAAGCCTCACCTGGTGCCTCCGACTGCTGGGCGGTGGGTGGCTGGGCCGGCCCCGGCCGCAGCGTGGCGAGCGGAGAGCAGGCCCCGCGTGGCTCTGGAAGTACAGACGTGGCAGGGCGGTGCGTAGCGGGCAGGCTGCGTGGCTGGGGCCGACCAGAGCGTCAGCAGCTGGTCGGTGCCTGCCCCAGGGTGAAGACAAGCCCGAGGACGAGATGGCCCAGAAGCGGGCCAGCCTGCTGGAGCGGCAGCAGCGGCGGGCGGAGGAGGCACGGCGGCGGAAGCAGTGGCAGGAGGCCGAGAGGGAGCAGCGGAGGGAGGAGGCCGCTCGGTGAGCCTGGGCCCGGCCGGC